CTCTTTGGGGCGAGTGGCAGCGATACGCACGAACCGGCCACGCCCGTGACGCGCGCACACACACAGGTGATCAACGCGTACTGTGGTTGGGCTTTCGCGACCAATATCATCCGTAATAACATTATTTAAAACATTGGGGGGGGGGGGGGGGGGGGGGTTAGATCGCGATTCTGGCAAATTGCCTGAAGCTGGTTGCTGTTGTTGTAATCACCAGCGTGACGTCACAGTGCTCAAATTGTAAACGTCGTTGTGGGGTTACTCACCAGCACCATCGGCGGCGTGCCGAAAGGGAGTAACTCATCGGCACGTTTTGTTTTACGTAACAAACCTTACCGATCAGCTGTGTCGGGGTGGTGTGTGGGTTAAGGACACATTCATCTTTACGCGATCTAGCAAACAAAAAAAACCTTTATTAGAGAGATTAATATGAGAGAGATGATTAATTTTAGAGAGATATATTATATTAGAGAGAGATAATGAATATTAGATAAATGATTAATATTAGAGAGAGAGATAATGAATATTTAAGAGATAATGAATATTAGAGAGAGATGATTAATTTTAGAGAGAGATATATTATATTAGAGAGAGATAATGAATATTAGAGAGAGATGATGAATATTAGAGAGAGATGATGAATATTAGAGAGAGATGATGAATATTAGAGATATATTATATTAGAGAGATGATGAATATTAGAGAGAGATAATGAATATTAGAGAAATATATAATATTAGAGAGAGATGATGAATATTAGAGACATTAATTGGCGTGAGGGCCCAGCGGCGTTCGTCTGCGTCCATCCCACGGCATTGGCCTCGGCCCCCAAGGTCAGCGGCGTCCCCCGCACGCCCCTCACGTGTCACGTGGGACGGGCATGGCTCATCTCGTCCTGCAGCTGCGAGTCCGTGGTGGGGATATCGACATCACGATGGTAGGTGCCACTCTCACCGAGATGTCACCCCGTGTGTTTGGCTTGGATGTTAACGACCCCCAGCCAGGGTCTTGGGCCCGTGTAAGAGAGGCAATGTTGTTCCCACTGTCTCGATGGATTCACTTAATCGCCGGGTTGGAAGCGGGATAAAGACCGACTTGACCTCACATCAACGACAGTCGCCTCTGGCCACTAAGTGGCGGTAACTTCACCACGGCGCCCGTGCCAGGCCACGAAAAGCACGGAAGGTTCCCTGCTGGCAAGGCAGCGTCCTTCACGAGCCTCCTCCATAGATGTCGATCTTGACACTACCGGTATCATCTAGCAGTGGATTTTTTTTAAGCGCTGTGTACTATTATAGAAGCGTTAAGTGGCCGAGCTGCCACCTTGACCGGCAATGGAACTCGCCAACTTGCTGATGACGAGTTGAACACTTTGCTCCGAAGTTAGGCCCACAAGCTGTCACGACGACGTCGGGCCATTGTGACGTCATGCCGGCGACGCGCTCACAAAAACACGGCACGCGCGGCACGAGGAAGGCCACGTGGCGGTGCCATCGACGTCTCGAGACGACCCCCCCCCGCTCGCCCGCTGCAAATTCGTGGGAGGCGAGGACGATCAGTGGCGAGGCGATGGGCAAAAAATAACCCGGCTTGCATGATCATCACTCACGCGGCTGGCTATGAATGTAAAACAACAGGGGGTGCGCGGTGGGGGAGGGGGGGGGCGAAAGTACAACAACACAACACGCGACGGAATGAATGAGGATTGCAGCAGAAGTTGTCGCCCCTCGTGTCGAACACGTGCGGTGGTGCGGAGAGAACGCAGCGTGCGAGACCGTGTGGCTGTGTGTGGGGAGGGGGGTTAGGCCGTGAGAGGTTGTAAGCGCAGTTTGTTTATTCAGTTCCCCGGTGAGCTGCCTCGATCCACCCACCCATCCATCCAATACCCCCCCCCCCCCCCGCTGTAGTTGTTTTACAAAACAATGGGAACGTTTGAACAAATTAATAAAAAGCTAAGGAAAAGCGCACGTTGCAGCGGTGTGTGCCTTTTGTCATTTATTTCAATAAGGTCGCATTCTCCAGCGCACTTCACCGACTTACCCCCGTCACAACGATTCTTCCACGGTACAATGCGCAACAGTTAGGCTCAAAACAAGGTCCTTCATTTCTAATCTTTCTTTCTTTTTTTATCAAATAAATAACGAATACAACCACGCGCGCGCAACACAACCAGGCAGCCACCTTCCCGGGTCTCCGCGCGCAACGTTGCGCAACCGCGTGTCGCGTGCCACGCGTCGAGCGCCACGTGCGTGTCATCTCGAACCAACTTCGTCACGGGCAGCCCCGATTCACGCTTCTGTGGCGAAGCGGCGGATGGAAAGGTTTAACGCCATCATCATCATCACCACCACCACCACGGCGAAGCTGCGCCGCTCACTGTTGTTGGTGGCGGGAGGAACCGTCCAGGGCACGCTTTGGGCCACAAATAGGACGAGAATGAACGGCACGCCAACCATGCGTGAACTGGTGCGCGTGCGCGTACACCACTTTTAGTTGGAGCGGCGGTAATGTACACCATGGTTAGCGCGCTGCGCTAAGGGTCCGGGCGACCCGAGTTCCAATTCCCGCCCACGGCCAAAACCGGTGATGAACATCTTGAACGGTCCTGGTCTCTCTCCTGGGGTCAACTCACCCTCGCGGGAGTACCTGCTGCGATGTGCACGCGTCGAAACTGGGAAGACAAATGTGGCCGGGCGTGGCTTTTTGCGAGTGCTACGCTGCAACACGGATAAGGCTTCGGCCCTGCAATTGTTGACGCCCCAGCAGGAGGAATGGCTTCCAGACAGCCCATCCCATCACTCGCGAATGCACTCCGTCAACTCTGTCACACCGGTTGGGCGTCTTGGAGAAGAAATAATTGCGAGTACCCACACTTTACCCCAGCACACGCGACCCTGTAAGTGTTGCCCATTTACACTGCTGGGTGGACAGCAGAGAGCCTGGGGTTGGAGGGGATGAAGTCAGTTACTTCAAATGCCAGGCCGGGAGATTGCACCGGTGCCCTCTGGAGCCCAGTGTGCTCACTCACTCACCAACATCGTCATCATCATTCCCATCCCGGCAGCAGTTCGACAGCACTGCAAGTGGCCAGCAATGCGCGAGGGTGAGCGGGTGGGGGTGAGCGGGTGGGGGTGAGCGGGTGGGGGTGAGCGGGTGGGGGTGAGCAGGTGGGGGTGAGCGGGTGGGGGTGAGCGGGTGGGGGTGAGCGGGTGGGGGTGAGCAGGTGAGGGTGAGCGGGTGGGGGTGAGTGGGTGGGGGTGAGCGGGTGGGGGTGAGCGGGTGGGGGGTGAGCGGGTGGGGGGTGAGCGGGTGAGGGTGAGCGGGTGGGGGTGAGCGGGTGGGTGTGAGCGGGTGGGGGTGAGCGGGTGGGGGGTGAGCGGGTGGAGGGTGAGCGGGTGGGTGTAAGCGGGTGGGGGTGAGCGGGTGGGTGTGAGCGGGTGGGTGTGAGCGGGTGGGGGGTGAGCGGGTGGGGGTGAGCGGGTGGGGGTGAGAGGGTGGGGGTGAGCGGGTGGGGGTGAGCGGGTGAGGGTGAGCGGGTGGGGGTGAGAGGGTGGGGGTGAGCGGGTGGGGGTGAGCGGGTGTGACTGTACGTCTGTGTTATGGGTTTACTGGATATAAAACAACGTGTGTTTGTGCGTACAACACCATAGCTGTAATGTATTTTACAATGTATACATTGTGTGTATGTGTGAATGTGCTCTTTGTGTGTGGTTGTGTAATAATATATAATGTACAAACAAAAACGTAACCGAACATGTGCTGGTTGTTATTTTTCTTTCTGTAAGAAAACCTAACGGAGGAGAGGAGCCTTATTCCAAACCCACTGCTCACCCGGGCGATTCTTTAAAAAATAAAATATATATTTGTTCTATGTCTGGCGTTAAAATAAAACTTATGCTTTTTCCCAAACGCTATTATTTTAGAAAGTGCTAAAATTGTTTTTTTTTTACCAAGAGGAGACTTTAAGGAAGAAAAAAAAATCGACGCTCCCAGCCACTATGTACAAAAAGTAGCACAGGTATCATTGGCCCAGTACTTTTCACGATGAGAGCACTGACAACAACAACAACACGTGTGAAACAGGGCCCTCTTTTTGAATGGCAAGAGATTTAAAAAATCAACCTCGTACTAATCAATGGTGGGTTTCCACAATCAAGGTACTGTTTTTAGTTTTACAAGAACCACAACGGCAACCGACACACACAAGTTCGCTGGCCAGGTATCTGCCCGCATGTGGAATTTGTTGCAAGACTGCGAGATTGGCCCAGCTCTTTGAAGGGGCACAAACACAGTTACAACTCCACCGCTTGTTCAAGACAACACTGTCGGTTGGGTAGTCGCCTGGTCTGGTCGGGTAGTCGCCTGGTCAGGTTGGGTAGTCGCCTGGTCAGGTTGGGCAGTCGCCTGGTCTGGTTGGGTAGTCGCCTGGTCTGGTTGGGTAGTCGCCTGGTCTGGTTGGATAGTCGCCTGGTCTGGTTGGATAGTCGCCTGGTCTGGTTGGATAGTCGCCTGGTCTGGTTGGATAGTCGCCTGGTCTGGTTGGATAGTCGCCTGGTCTGGTTGGATAGTCGCCTGGTCTGGTTGGATAGTCGCCTGGTCTGGTTGGGCAGTCGCCTGGTCAGGTTGGGCAGTCGCCTGGTCTGGTTGGGTAGTCGCCTGGTCTGGTTGGGTAGTCGCCTGGTCAGGTTGGGCAGTCGCCTGGTCTGGTTGGGTAGTCGCCTGGTCTGGTTGGGCAGTCGCCTGGTCTGGTTGGGTAGTCGCCTGGTCTGGTTGGGTAGTCGCCTGGTCAGGTTGGGTAGTCGCCTGGTCTGGTTGGAGAGTCGCCTGGTCTGGTTGGAGAGTCGCCTGGTCTGGTTGGGTAGTCGCCTGATCGGGTAGTCGCCTGGTCTGGTTGGGTAGTCGCCTGGTCTGGTTGGGTAGTCGCCTGGTCTGGTTGGATAGTCGCCTGGTCTGGTTGGGCAGTCGCCTGGTCTGGTTGGATAGTCGCCTGGTCTGGTTGGAGAGTCGCCTGGTCTGGTTGGGTAGTCGCCTGGTCGGGTAGTCGCCTGGTCTGGTTGGGTAGTCGCCTGGTCTGGTTGGGTAGTCGCCTGGTCAGGTAGGGTAGTCGCCTGGTCTGGTTGGATAGTCGCCTGGTCTGGTTGGATAGTCGCCTGGTCTGGTTGGATAGTCGCCTGGTCTGGTTGGGTAGTCGCCTGGTCAGGTTGGGTAGTCGCCTGGTCTGGTTGGGTAGTCGCCTGGTCTGGTTGGATAGTCGCCTGGTCTGGTTGGATAGTCGCCTGGTCTGGTTGGATAGTCGCCTGGTCTGGTTGGATAGTCGCCTGGTCAGGTTGGGTAGTCGCCTGGTCTGGTTGGGTAGTCGCCTGGTCTGGTTGGGTAGTCGCCTGGTCTGGTTGGGTAGTCGCTGTGGGAGTCTCCGAGCGCTGGCCAGCACAGAGCAAACATTGCTCCCAGTAACACTCGAGATGACGACCGACAGGGCCGCACTTAGCCTGCGTGGTGGCCACTGGGCTGCCCGGGGGTGCACATGCCGATAAGGGTGGGAGCGCAAGTGGGTGGTGTTGGGGTCAAGACGAGGGTGAGGGGGGGGGGCAGGAGACACAACTTCGGCCGTGTGGGGCGAGGCCCCGGGGTTTAACCTCCACCACAGCTGCGCGTCATCAGAGTTTGTGAAATGCGACACGCGCACCGGATTAAGCGCAGCTTTCGCAAACGTTCGCAGACGTAAAGATCAAAGGAATCCCCGTCACGGAGACGCGGGACCTGTGGGCTCCAGTTTAGCAACAAACTAAAATTACGAAAACGAAACGAGCGGGCGGGCGGCTGCGTGGCAGCGCAGCGCTAGCCGCGGGCAATTTGGCGGGGGCGGAGCCTCTCTCTCGTGTGCGTGGCTCTGACCTAGAATGGGAACGGAGCGATCTGTAGCCACGTGAGATTGCTGGTCCCGCACGTCGGGCTGGCAGAGGCAACTTGAGGAGGCTCTCGTAAGGGTCTGCACAGCTCCCCTTCATGGCACGGGGGGTGTTTTAATTAAGGGATTCAGATGTATGGCGATGACGCTTTATAAATAATAAATGCGAGCATGGGGGGAAGGGGGTGGAAGCCGCCAGCGAATGTATTCCTAAAAATGCCCGGGGGGAAACTTACTGAACCATGTCCTTAAAAATATTGTCTTCAATTGGGATGAAATACTGGGAGTGGCACGTAAAAAAGAAATGTACTACTCTGTACGTGGCGGTTCTACTGAAGTGCAGTTCTCCCCTGTGTTACCGGGTCGTGCCAAAACGTCGGACATCGTTCTTAAACAACGCGCGGTACGACCCCGAAAACGGCCGCGCCGTTTCTCTTTCTGACTGTAATGATTCTCGTTGTAAATGATTACAATGTGATTTGCGGTCATCCTTCTCTAAGATTAAAAATGTACTTTTTTTTTAAACAAACAAAAACGTACATATTTTAAAACTCCTAAAAGGTACCCATATCTTAATCATGGACTGCACCACTAGGTGGAACGCCCTTCGTTAAATTTAAATCATCAACAATCGTGTAAAACTTGTCGAGTAAAAGGCGAAACTTAATTCTTCATCAACTCACTTAGTTACCGATGACCGTCCCAGATAAAATACTTAATAGTTTTCACAAGCTCGTCCAAAAACATATCTGAAAGTCTTATCGTCATGAATACGAGAACAATTTCAATCTTGCTGGCCTTCAGTCTCTTCAGTAACAATTACCGTCTAGCTTTGTCCTTGGGCTGCGAGAGAGAGAGAGCGAGCGAGACAGAGAGCGAGACAGAGAGCAAGAGCGATAGAGAGCGAGAGAGAGAGAGCGAGGGAGAGCGAGGGAGAGAGCAAGACGGAGTGCAAGAGAGGAGCGCGAGAGCAAGCGAACGTTACCACAGAAGTGCATGCATAGCGTCGCGTGTAATTGCACAGCGGCTGACTTTAATGAGCCAGGAAGGCACACGGCTTGCTTAATGACTCATCTAACTAAAAGGGCCCCCTCTCAGCACGCCATGTCATGATCACCCGAGTGCTTGGAGCTGTTTCCTTGGACACATTCCAGCTTCCTCGGTTGGGTTTAAAAAAAAAAATTCTTCATCCGCGTTTGCGCAGCGCACGAACACTGTAGCCTCACGGCCGCGTGCGAGCAGACAGCGGCCTTGCGATTCCGCAGCCACCGCTGGACGGGCATCCCGTGAAGCGGACGCCCTGGCGTGCTCCCACCCGAACACTCAGCGACTTGGACCAATGCCACGGGCGGAAAAGGTCGGCGATTTTAAGGCTTTGACTTCAGAGTCACGTAACAACGATCACAGATAGAGCAATATCTAAAGCAGACTTAAAAAAAAAATACAACCACCGAGATTCGAGAGAGGCCTTCGCTGAGAGCCCGGTGCTCTCACACTCACAGGGTCTAACGGTAGCCGGAGTTAAGGCACGGTGCCGTGCCGTGCGCGCCTCAACTCTGAGGGACACTCCGTGGAACCTGGCACGGGGCGAGGGGGGCAGTGGGGGGGGGGGTGCTCGGGGTCACCAGTGACGCCGGGTCACCGCTGGGTCACGTGCGTACGGCGGTGAGGAGGGACGACGGCACGTGCCGAAGAGGAGGAGGCGGCGTTTCCGTTTGCCCGCTTGGCGGGGTGGACGCGCCGCACTGCGGACGTTCGTGTCCCTCTCTCCGCAGCGCGGGTCGGAGAGTCGGTCTCTGCAGAAGCAGGTTCACAACTCGGAGCGGCGCACGACGCCGGCACTATTTTCAGTCTGCGCCCCCCTCGCCTACCCCCGGGCCCTCGATAAGGACGATCCATAACGCTGCTTGCGCACATCTGCGTGCGTGTTTCTCGACAACGATTCGTTGAGATGATTGGGACAATGATGAATTTGCTCACGGCCCCCGAAACGCGCGCGTTGTGCGCATGACGAGCGAACGCTACGATACTGACGGAGGGATCCCGAGCGCTGGCCCACGCCGGCTGCCTCCGTGCGCTTCAAAACCGCGACGGGCGTCCGCCTCGGTTCGTCAAAGCGTCTTGGGGAAACAGCACAAAAACGCGACGAGGTTTGACTCGGGAGCGGGTCGGCCGTTGAAACGAGGTGCAACGAACGAGGCGGAAACTTGGGACGCGCCGTCAGGAGCGCGGCGATAGACAGCAGGCGCACGAGCGCTCGGGCTCACTAATTCGCGAGCCACGGCCGCCGCGGCAGCCACGAACGATAGGAACCTGCAGCGGCGCCGCCCCCCCGACTACGGAATTAAATTTTAATTTGCTTAGCGAGCAACTCGCTGCAGCATTTCCATCAAGCGTACGATCATTCTCGAGCAGACAGTCTATAAATTGCACAGATTACATTGCCGCTTAATTAAAAACAGCATTTCAATGGAATTGAATTAGCCGATAATCGCTTTAGCCTGGCCCGCGCTCGATCCAGTGACACGTGCTTGCCACGCTTGCGGCGGTGCCTGCTTCTGCTTCCCGATGGGGACGCGTCCCCAAAACACGTCCCCTGGTTTGCGTACCGGCTGCAGCTGTCAAGGCCCGCGACGAGTTCGCCCACGACGAGTTCACCCACGACGAGTTCGCCCACGACGAGTTCGCCCACGACGAGTTCGCCCACGACGAGTTCGCCCACGACGAGTTCACCCACGACGAGTTCACCCACGACGAGTTCACCCACGACGAGTTCACCCACGACGAGTTCGCCCACGACGAGTTCGCCCACGACGAGTTCACCCACGACGAGTTCACCCACGACGAGTTCACCCACGACGAGTTCACCTACGACGAGTTCGCCCGCGACGAGTTCACCCACGACGAGTTCACCCACGACGAGTTCACCCACGACGAGTTCACCCACGACGAGTTCACCCACGACGAGTTCGCCCACGACGAGTTCGCCCGCGACGAGTTCACCCACGACGAGTTCACCCACGACGAGTTCACCCACGACGAGTTCGCCCACGACGAGTTCACCCACGACGAGTTCGCCCACGACGAGTTCACCCACGACGAGTTCACCCACGACGAGTTCACCCACGACGAGTTCACCCACGACGAGTTCACCCACGACGAGTTCGCCCACGCGCGAGCGCTCGGGTCCCACTGGCCAGCTGCGGGCAAGAGCGCCGTGCGTCCCAGGCGAGCGCTTGCCACCCGCGCGACACCGAGACCTTTCACTCCTCAACGAGGCCCCCCGTCGACAGAGGTCGGGGGCGGACCCGTGTCGGTGGGACCGATGCACGCCGTGGATTGTTCAGACGCGAGCCATCTCGAGAGAGTACTTGGGTCCCCGGGGCGCGAGGCGTTGCGAGAGGTAAAGCGTCGCTCTCGGCTCAAGTCGCCAAACTTCGCAGGGTCCCGCGATGATCTTGCAAGTCCCAAACGCGGCCTGGAGCTGCGGTGAAGCACGACGGACCGCCAGGGCGCTCCGCCAGTTCCGGTGGAGCGGACGCACGGCCCGAGCGTCGGCCGGGGGGAAAGGGGACGGGAACGCTGGACGGGAGACGCACGGCGACAACGTTGGTGGTATCGGCGATGGCGATAATACAGAGAGCGCGTGCACTCCACGTGATCCAAGATCGGCGGTGGCAGCAGGCGATGAGAGGCGGCAGCTGAGAGCCGTGGTTTTGCCTCGGGGCAAAAGGGTCTGCGAAGGGTGGCGCAGCAATCAAGCATCCTTGCCAATCTTCCAAAGTCACTTTAAAAAAACAAACAAATTACAAAATTAACAACGGGAGGAAAGAATCCTGTTCACGTTGAGTGTTTCTCATTGAGGTGCTTCCTTCCCGGTATTTTTTTTGTTGTTTTTCTTTTTATTCTCATTAATATCGACATTATTACCGGCTTGGATAGATTGACACAATTTTTGCTAGTGCACTGAACGTTACGGAAAATAAGGTTTCTTCGCCAGTGGCAGCGGTGGCTGGATAGGGGCGGGGGAACCAGTCAGGCAGCCATCGGCGCGTGCGGGCCTCTCTCCCGTACCCACCGCCGCCACCACGCGGCCACACCGCGCCCGTCCGGCCCGCCGCCGTCTAGTCCCCCACGTCGGTGTCACGATCGCCGATGAGCCACAGCAGGTGGAAGCTGAGCGCCAGCAGCCCCGTGCCCAGGAGGTCGCCCACGGCCGTGAGGTAGGGGATGGAGAAGTTGTCCGGGTCGAGGCCCCGCCGCCACATCCAGTGCACCATCCAGTCGGCGAGGTACAGCAGCAGTACCACCTGCGGGGGACGGCGGTGGCGCGCGCAACGCCACGCCGTTCCGTGGCCGTCATTTTAAGTTTCGGACGACGTCGCCCGCCGCCACGGCCGCCACGGCCGCCGGGGGGAAGGCGGCCGTGCGAAGGCGCCGAAATGTTAAAAGCAGAATCACGCGACCCCCCACACCGTCACTCGGAAAAAAATAAAAAAAATTCGTCCCCGACTTGCTCGGGACCGAGCCGTGGGCGGACAACGCGGGCACCGGCGGAGGACGAGGGCGGCGGCGGCGGCGCCGTCGTGCACAGCGAGGCCTCGTGGGACGACGCCCAAGCGCAAGCTGCTCTCACGGTGGGGAAGATGCTTTCGCCGTGCTGTCGACGTGCGGGCGAATGTGGGCGCGAGATTAAGGGACGCGTTACCGCGTGAAAAGGTCAGATTTGCGCACATCTGCAGAGAGTGACATTTACACCGTGCACAAAGACTGCACTAATTTGTGCAGTCTTTGTCAGGGCTGACGTGTGACGGTCAGATCTGCAACACTGCACTGTTTTTTTTTCTCTGAGCATGGAGATAAATACAAAGCTAAAGGTGCCCCCGTGTAACCTACACAGTGCTGGTAGCGAGCACCTAACGAGGGAGTGGTGTGTTAAGCACCACATTTAGCCGCCTTTGTCTCCCAAGTGATGATGTTTACACACCACACCGGGTATGAATTTAAGGCTGAGGTGACCTAGAGGAGGCCCAGAATGGGTTCGAACATCTGCCACTGTTGCTTATCTTGAGTACACTCAAGTCACGAGGTTCGTAGCACAGTACCGCTGATCACTACACTACCGCTCGCGGAGACAAACACGCACACACACGCACGCACGTCTGAAGAGCGGAATCGGATTCACTGCGCTCGCGCGTGCGTACACGCGGAGCCGCATTGATTTCTGCGGCGAGATCATGTCGAACCAGCGCTGCGGAATTAAGGTATAAGTTAGACGGATTGTTTGCGCGGGTGCACGAAAATGAGCGTGGCGGCGTCGACGATTCGCTTATCGTGACAGGCGAATACGTCAAGCAAGGTGGTGACCGGGAAAACTGGGGGGAGGAGACTTGTCTGGGGTAAGGGCATTGTGAATAATAATAATATTACTACTAATAAAAAATAAACCAGCCAGGCAAACGCCATCGCTTACTCGGCACTTTCAGAAGCCGCGCGCGTGACAAAAGCCTGCGCGCATAAGCTGACATCATTTAGTCGGTTAGTTCTGTTTAGGCTATTCAGAAAACTGATTTTGTACGAGTGATGTTGTTTTTCTTTTCTCCGGGGTCTGTAAAAATTGTTTAAAGAAAAATTCTAAAGGTAACTTCAAAAAAATTCCTTGTGTGGTGAACGTTCACGAGTTGACCTGCAAGGGCTGGCAGGGACATAGAACATACATGTATTTAGCATGCCGGCTGTGCGGTCACGTGGTGGTGGTGGTGATAGTGGGTGCGGTGGTTACAGGCACCCTGCTACAGACCTGGCGACAAAGAGCTCGAATCCCAACCATTGCTTACGTCAGTTACGAGTGATATCTGAACTGTTGAACTTGTCCTGGGCTCCAACCCCTCACCTCTTCACCATCCCACACTGACCAGCGTGGTGAAGCATGGCCGACAGTGTGGGGAGTGCCTTTAATCCAGTACTGGATTTACACACTGCTATAAAACACAATTACAATAAATTATAATGTTGGTTGCGGCGTAGGAACACAAGTAGGGAAATACCTTCACCAGTGTTATTAATAAATAAAAACCCCGCCTTAGAACCACAGAATATACACAATGTGCCAACAATTCAGACCAAAGTCCTTCTTCAGAAACGGAGAACATGTGTTTACAAGTGCACGCCAAGTGCGCTGATTGGACATGCCCGCAGCGTTCGGGGAACAACGTTATCGCAGGCAAGAAGCGCAAGCCATTGCGCGCATGCAGATGTTACAACAAACTGCATGCCCTTAGAAGTGCACACGCAAGACAAAGATCCCCCAGTATAGCCTTAACAAACTGTTGGGGCAAGAGCTGTTAGCGAGCACCTATGAAGGCCGGCACGGCACACGAAGCGGTGGGTGGCCAACACCACGCCCAACCGCCTTTGTCTCTCCAGTGGTGTTTACACATCGCACCAGGTACTCATTTGAGGCTGAGTCGACCTAGGAGAGGCCCAGGACCGGTTCAAATAATCGTCACTGGTGTTGGCCGTGAGCAGGAATCAAACTCGGGTCGCCGGGTTCATAGCGCGGACCGCTAACCACTACCACGTACACACACGCACACAAACACCGCGTACCCTTAAGAGTATTCAAACTACTTAGGCGTCATGCATAATTATTAGTTTTAACGACACTCGCTATATCGTGTGGAGGAGTGGAGATGAGGGGGGGGGGTGATAGCAGCTTCGTGCCCTGTGTGCTTCAATTGAACTTTTATTTTTTTCACAAGATCAAACGACGGCCAAGGGCACATCAACATTTCCTGAGCCCCTTTTTTCTTATTAATTTGTTTTGAAATTACTCTCCAGAGGGCACGCTCGCCCGGGCCTGAGAGAGGTTGATGGTGGGAGACAGATCACAGGCAGAGAGACGCCTCGATGGGCGTGCGGGAACGACAGTAATTGCTGACGTGCCGGGCCTCGCTCTCCGAGCGGATGAGTGTCACGGAGAGAAATTCTGGAGCGGGGAAAAGGAAAAAGAAAATGATACAACCAAAACTAAACTACACATGGATCGGAGCTTCGGGCGGATGGGCAGTTTCACGTTTCAATTAAGCTCCGGGTAAAGGGAGGTCATGGGATAAAGGGAGGTCATGGGATAAAGGGAGGTCATGGGATAAAGGGAGGTCATGGGATAAAGGGGGGTCATGGCGATTCCCGATGCCGCCGATGGCACCCGAAACATTGTGGTTGCTTCCTTCCTTTTGCAACGCTCTGCAGCCGTTGGAAAGTCAATCGTGTGACCTCAAAGGACCAATCCACCTCCCATAATTTCCCACGTCTGCCGAGGTCTTTTCCCTTGTTTACACAGTGAAGATGTTCTTCAAGGTCACTCGTACGCAGTCCCATCATCGCCGTCATCATGCGGCTTCGGAGGTCCTTTATCTTCACCTTTGTCATATATATTACATCCCACCCTTGACGACGACCTTCGGGGTGCCACTCCAATACCCCTCACCAATTCGGCATCTCCTCTACCTTCAATTACGCAAGACAGCTATAGAGATAGACGACCTTTATTTAAACCGGGCGGAGAGGGCCGCCGAGACTAAAAGCCTCTTTTTCAAGGCAGAACCTTCGAGATTTAACCAGTCATGGTCCGTGTGGAAAAAAAGAAGAATACACACGGATCCATCGCTTGATTGATGTCCTCCATTTAACCAGGCGAGAGCCCATTGACTTTCATTATCTACTTTGTGGCGGAGATGTCGGCATCTGGGAGAACGGAGCCGCGCGCAGAGACCGTTGCGCATATCAACTTGTGGAACGACGCGGCCCGGGGCTCTTCAATTCACGTCGATTCTCGCGCTCGCAAGTTGCACGCATCATCAAATCGTCGCGTGTCAGAATCGATTATTGCCAATGCGTACGAGAGTCATAGCTTTCATCCCAAAACCAGATTGTAGTCGCGCTACAGGGGCAAGCAAATGCATGTATAAATAACCCAATTACAGAATCTACGACTAACCATTGCTAACAATTTTTATTTTACCAGGTGAGGCCCACCCAAGCTATTACAGCTGTTTTACAGAAGCGACCTGGCCACAAATGATAGCATAACGAAGCGGCTTATCACGCGGAAATCTATAGCAGCAGCCAAATACTCCGAACGGACACATCGATTCTAAATGTGCAGGATAAAACCGAATCAAACCGCTCCTGTTATCTCACGGTGACCGACTCAATCGGTCTATGGGGCTGAACCGGCAGCACCGTCCAGATGAATTAATTGGGGACAACTTAGCTTCGAGTCGATTTGACCTTTGTAGGATTCCGAGAGCCGCGATGCTGGCAGGCGAGTGTCAGACTCCCGCAAGACGAAAAATCACGGGGGTGGGGGGCGGCTGGGGGGCGGGTGGGGGGCTTTATGACACCAGCTTTTTGCAGCAGACGGCACGATTTGTTAACCTCCCCGCAGAGATTCGCCGGAGCAGCTGCTGTGAGAACGGTGGGGCCCCCCCCCCCCCGCTCTCCGCAACAAGCCGGCCCGGGCGGCGAGTGCCCCTGACCGCGAGGCGAATAATGGGATTCATTAATCCACCGCGAACCCAGGGAGCGCCTCATCGAGATAGGGCCATCCACCTCGTGACAATGGGCGCGGCGCAACCGTTTCGGGGACCTTTTGCCGCGCATGATAAACTGGAGAGAGCGCCCCGTGAGAAGATACGCCGGGGATACGCCATCGCACGGTCGAGCGCTGGCAGATTGCGGGGTTTGGAACTCGGCGCCACTGAAAAAGGCAATTGATAAAAAAACAATGTCTACCTTTATAGTTTGTTTTGTCAGGTTTATCCCGATTGTACTATCCTTTGTCACGTCACGAGATGAAGAATCCATTTGGTTTCGCTCACAGAGCAGTGCGACGTTTCGCGTTGAAGAACGGCACGCGGAAGTGGGTATCGCAGAGCTACCGCCAAGATCCCTCCACGTGACCTTTTGGTCCACACACTAAGGCGCAGAAATGTCACACCCCACCCGGCTACAGAGAGTAATGTTTTGTTGCATGCCAAACTGATTTTTTTACTCTCAGGCTGGGAATTTAGCCAAATTAAGTGCTGAACTAAATCTAATGTGATGGGGTTTTTTTTTATGACGAGCAGTCACCAGTGCCCGAGATGAGAACATCCATCTGACTGCCGCTTGACAACCCGGTTTAATCACAGGCGACTGCCTGCTTTGGAACCGAGGACGTCAGTGGTGCCAGCACAGCACCTCCCACTCCTGAGCCACCCGGCCACCTCACAAACTCCTCCTCCGCCGTGGAGCGCACTGCCGTTATATTTTCTCTTGCTCCTTCTCCCGCCTCCCCTTTAACGAGCCCCTCTTGTGGCATGTGCTGAGCCACTATTGCATACGGATGCTTTGAAACGCTCAACTGTACTGCGCCGTAAATGCTTTCACACTGAGACGCACAAAGTGTTAGCGGCAACACGCCGTAAAGCACAGAGGGGACGGTACCGAGGACCCAGTTCCGTCGGGGAGTAAGCTTCGCCTCGGGTTTTGCGTTTGCAGGCATCACAAGCCGGTGATTGCAAGCAGATGCAATGTTTAATGCACTGTTGGGTGCTGCCTGGGCTGGACACCAGAACTGTTCCCACCGAAGGAAACCGCGTGGATTTCTCCGCCTGCAAAAACCCGAGGCGGAACTCTCTGGCCGACCCGAACTCGAGCCACGGCGTGCCACCGGCATCGACTCCCGTCCCGCGCATGTACTCACGCACACGTGCTCGCACTCGCACGCACGCACGCGCACACACACGCCCCACGCTCTGCGCACCTGCAACAGCGCCGCCATCAGGTAGAAGACGATGAAAATGGCGGTGAGCGTCGTGTGTCCACCCTGCATGAAGTTGATGGTGTAGAGGAAGACGAGGTGGCCCGGCACCACGAGCAGGAAGAGAACGCGCGCCGACCGCGAGTTCACCACTGGGGGGGGGGGGGGGGGGGGGGGTCATAGGAGGGGTCGTTGAAGGTCACAGTAGGTCAGGGGTTGCAAGGGCAATGCCGAATGCTGCCACCACTGCTGCCATTCGTGGTTCAAACAGCTCAATGGCAATGACTGGAGCACAAAGTCAATCATTCATTCATTGAGTCATTCATTGAGTCATTCATTGAGTCATTCATGACACTGAGTTGAAAGGTTGTGGCAGCTTAGGCAGCCCTTCACCAAGCAGCAGACTGATCAAGGCCGACGATGATAATTATGATGACTTAAAATGTATTTCAGATTAAACGTGTGATAATCCAGTCGACGACACATTGTTGCACAAGTGAATCATTTGGCAGGACCCCGGGGTCCCGCAAAAATCAGGTCAATAATTATTATTATTTTTCTTCAGTCCGCCCACTCGTGATCCCGACAGCAACACGCCGCCCGCCCAGACTCGCGCCAACAAGCGCCAGCAGCAGCAGGCGGCGATCAACACGATGGGCGCCACCCCACCGGCCAAACGCAAGCCCCGGGGGGCGTCCGCCGCAGTCGCGCGCGGCGACGACGCCCTCCGGTCAGCCGTCGATCCTCAGCTTCTTTGCCAAGGCGAGCCCGCCGCCGCAGTGAATTTAACGTGTTTATGTAATTTTTCAACTTATTACGAAACTTAGTGTCCCCGAGTAGCTCTCGACGAGGCCAATCGCATGACGCTAGTTTTGTTGTCGGTAAGGCAAGACTCGTGTCGCTACGCGGCTTTTTCCCACCCCGGGGCAGTGATGGGACCCCGGCGTCCCGCCAATTGCTTCAAGTGATGAAATTGTGCTGGAATACCATGAACCGTTTTCAAGCATCAATGACTGACTGAATGAATGATATTCTTAAATGAAGACGTGACCCACACAACAATCTAAACAGCCTCCCCCGCCCTAAGCTTGCCGCTATATTCCTCGGCCGCGCGTCCTGGGCTGTGCGACGCGAGTTCAACGGGAATATAAAAATGAGGGTAACACGCGACATCATTGCGCCCAAGTAATGTCACCGCGACGCCCATCCCTGTGCGTTTCGACACGTCAATTCGGGGACGTTATTAGAGCGCGATAAAGGAACCTGTCACTTTTCACATTCGCGCCCTTTAACTCATTGCACAGCCCGTGACACTCAGCCGAGAAAAAGAACATCAACTTAAGAAAGGGCAGGAAAAGTTTGTATACAATATACAAAACACAAACATCCCCAGTGTAGCCTTTAAAGGACTGTTGGGCAAGTGCTGATAGTGAGCACCTATTAAGGGCCGGCATGGAACACTTGGGGCTGTGTGGCCAGCACCATGGCCAGCTGCCTTTGATTCCCCCATTGCTGATGTTTACACATTGCACCGCCGAGTGAAGGCCCAGGGCCGGTTTCAACAATCGCCACCCACGTTAGCCGTGGCCGGAAATTTCTCTCAAGCCGCCGTGTTCGTAGAGCAGCGCACTAACCACGACAGGAAACTTTCTCGCGCTACGAAGACAAAGATTCCCCCCGTACAGCAGTGGGTGAACGCCTACGAAGGCCGGCACGGCACACGAGGCGGTGGGTGGCCACCACCATTTAACCACACCTGGGACCGGTTCGGAGACCGCTCGCCACTGATGTTAAGACGCGGTTAGGAATTGAACTCGTGTCGCTGGGTTCGCCGTACACTGAGCAAACCGCGACGGGAAAACTGCATCGCAGATGTTATAAATCAGATGTTGATTACCCAGCGATATCAACGGTCCTTCTGTGTAATGGAATCAATCACACCCGATGTGAAATGATGGGATGCCAACGTAAGTACAACCTTATGTCACTGGACTTAATTTGTGAAGAATTAATGTGTTTTTATTTTGTTCCCGTAAAATCCTTCGCTGTTGTTCAGCTCTCTGTTGTAACAGAAGCATTGAAACTTACAAGCGTTCTCACACCTGGCCCTGAATGGAACACACTTAACCGAATTGCTATTTTACAGCACGGTTGTAAATCGCGGGTGCCAAGAGCGTCAACGTTGATATTCATCGGCGTCGACTCGCTCAAAATTGCACTGTAATCCGATTGCACCCAGAGTGAGCGTAATACGCATTTAAATATTTAATGCGAAAATAAAACAAAACAATTCCCGGCCTCACCACAAACGTACACGCTGATGGAAACACAAACCGTTCCACTGTCTCAACGTGGAACTTATAATAATAAAATTTTACACACGATGACACCAAAACTAAAAAAGAATCAAGAGCAGTTAAGTCAAACCTGCACGGGTTATAAATCGTGAGTGCCACTGCGCTCACAACCTGCAGGGATTTACAAGCGGGCGGGCGGGTGAGTATTTCACTCGATTGATTATAAAGTAGTAAACGTTCGTCACGCTTTACAGTGAGCGCACCGGCCGTGCCGGTGCAGGCTAAAGGCGCGGGCGGTCAGAAGAACACAACACCTCGTTCCTGTAAGGGACGTCCGAATTCTGTAATTAACGTTCGCCTTCCCGACCCACGGAAGACGCGATTGGCTGGTAAACGTCCTCTCTTTTTTTCATCATTATTATCATCGTGCACCCGCATAAACATCAATACGTGTTCCGTACACGTTCCTGTCCCAAAAATGTAATAAATCCGTGGCACAATTAAGAGAACGGCGGAGCCAAGGAAAGCGTTTAATGTCTTTGTGTTGCCCGCACAGCAGACGCACGTTTATATATTACACAAATCGCGAGGTCGCTTTTTGTGTCCAACAGCGATGAATTATTGCGCCAGAGTCGAACCTGTCATCGAGATTGCCATTTAACGGTTCCCCCGAGATGAAGGTGGAGGGAATTATTGGGCGATGGACGTCACGTTTGTAACCCAGAGGCACTCGTTTATAATATGCGGTCGCCGCTTGTTTTTCGAACACCTCCATTATAAAACGTGGGCCCACCATTTGGAATCAATTCCAGGCTGCGGGGAAACAGATTTAAGATGTTGCACGTGTTCTCATCTTAGCAGCTGGAGACCAATTACACATGCACAGAGACTACGTTTGCCTAAGGCGGGCCATAGGTAAATTGGCCTACCTTGCGGTGCGCGGTGGTGCACGCGAGATTACAAATGATCGCGTGACCTTTGAACCAATCAGCTTGGAATAAGAATACCAAGGCAAGGAAACTATTTCTATAAGGGTCCCCAGTTGTATGTTGAGCTTCTTTCGCACCGTACGTAGCCAACCGTGCTAATCGTAGGTGCGAGGCTGTGCCCATCTCGTTTAAAGTGGTGTAAATTCTACACTCCTATGGCAGGGACGTGTCCATCCAAAAGACAACCCCACGATTGACTTCCCCACAAAGTGGTAAATATTTTATTGACCCTGGATGGAAGATGGGCTGAGTCAACCCGCAACCAGGGCTTGAACTTGGAAACTTCCAATTGCGAGCCGCTCCCTTCACCGCTGAGGCACCCCGGATGATTGCTCTTCCGTGCGTTGTTGTTGACAAACGTGTTGAATATTTATTGTCTGTGCTTGTGCACCACTGCTAAGCCCTGCACCGCCACCGCACAAAGTGCCGTGTGCGATCGTACATATATCTAGCGCGTGTCAACGCGTACTGTATGATTTTTTTTAACTGCTTTCGCATTCGATAACGGCAATTTATGATGCAATGGATTTTCTGACGGAGCCTTTTTCCCCAACCGCCCCCCGTCCCACCTCCCTCCCCTCCCCTTCAAGCCCCCCTCCCACCCCCCCAATTTTCACATTACAGGTTTTACATGGGGTGTGGCTGTGGGGGCGAGGGGGCTACAACGTGAACGCGCGGCATCCCTGACAGCTCCTCCTCTCGTTCACCACGCGCACCACAATCTCCCGTAACGCCCCGGCGCCTCGTTCATCATCGTAATGAACAAACCTCTTCGGCCGCCAATCCTTTCAGCGTTAATATATCAAAGGGCTCGTGGAAAATTCCGCGCGCACAGAGAGCCGTCAATAATATTCCATCTCTCAAGCCTCGCCGCACGCCCCCCCCCACCCAACCCCCTTTGAGAAAGAGGTAAAAAAAATGTAAATAAGAAAATCCCGCCATTGTGTTGTAAATTGGCGTTCAGCACAAACGCACGGCGACCCAATTGCTTTAACCCCGTTGCGTATTCCGCGCCGCGCGCGACGGCGCGCCGTTCGTTTCGTCCGCCCGGGAAGCCGCTGGATCCCGGTGTCGCCCGCTCCCAATGCGGGCCGCGTCAGCCGCTGTTGTGGTGCGTCGGCGACGTGACGGACGGACGTGACGGAAGGGTGTGACGGTGACCGTGCCCGTCTCGGACAAGCTCTCGCGACGGTAGACATCAAGAGGGCGTTGCGGCGACATCAGCGGCGTCGGCGGCAGCGCGCAGGCACAGTCACGACCCGACGACGCATCTCAACGCTGCCAAAACCCAGTCGTCATCTAATATAATGAGTCGCGGGCCAAACTCAACGCCCACCCACGGCCCACCAGTGACAACAGCTGCTCAACGTTTCCTGCATGGAATATATGCGGCCGTGTTCCCCCCACCAGCCCCCCCCCCCCACCCCCCCCCAACACCCCCCTCTGGGACAAATTTCCACATCAGCGGTGCATGTAAATTCCAATTTGTGTGTGGTCTAATGTGAGCTATGCGCTTTTCCGGCACTCCGATTTTAATTTAAAATTCACGGCTGGGCAAGTCAGATGCAAAGGTGCGTTTTCTTTTACCTTTTCTCCAATTCGTTTAGAACCGCCAGCAGCTCATTAATTAAGGCTTAGCTTTGGACTGGAGGTGGTGCGTTTTTCATTTTCATGGCCCTGTTATTATTGCGCGCCTGACCGCAGCTTAGACACAGTACATCAGGCAAGGGGTTCATTGTGTTTCAGCCCTCGCGTGCTTCAAGGTCCGCGAGCATAATAATAATAATAAAAATAGCGGCAACGAGAATCCGTCACGGGATCGGCTAAAATTGCAGACCTCCGGGTACAATTATTTTGTGACGGGGGACGTTTGTAAGCGTGTTTTTTTTTTTAGTGGTGTTGGGTATGATTGCCGGTGTCTGTCAGTACGCTGAGGTGTCATTCCCCTGGTGTGAGTCGACTGATATGTCAGCTTGCTGGCGTGCCATCGGACTGGTGTGTCAGCCCGCTGACGTGGGAGCTCACTGGTGTTGTCAGTTGACTAGTGTGTGTGTGCCCAATTGTGTGTGCATGCGCAATTGCGTCGGCTCACTGATTTTCGATTCCACCGATATGTCAGCTCACTGCAACGTCAGCTCAGTGTCAGCTCACTATTGTGTGTGTCGCATGTACGTTGCACTTCTTTCGCACCGTACGTAGCCAACCGTGCTAATCGGAGGCGCGGTGAGCGGAAGTGCAGTAGCTAACGCACAGCGCTGCGCAGCCGGCAACACAAGTTCGATGCCCGCTCACGGCCAATATCGGTGGCGAATATTTGAATCGGTCCTGGGCCTTCCCTAGGTCTACGCGACATTAAATGAGTACCTGCTACGGTGTGTAGACATCACCACTGGGCAGTCGGAGGTGGCCGGGCGTGCCACACCGCACCCCTCGTGTTTGCCTCCGTAGGTGCTACTTAGCTCACGGCACTTTCCCCGACAGTCTGTTAAAGGCTATACGGGGGATCTTTGTCTGTGTGCTCACACCAGATTCCACCGCACGGCTCCCCAGGCTTCAGGAGCTGCCAGAGCCATCACTGCGAGCAATCTTGCGCCGCAAACGAGGCCAACGCCACAGCTTATCTGTCCATTCCGTGCCCGATCGATACCAACTGGCCCCATCACTCAGGGCCTCCCAACTACGGGATGAGTGCTTTTTCTGTCATCATAAAAGTCGTTATTAGTCAAAAATAATAAAACATCTCACGGCTCCTTTGTCAATCCACTGCTGGATGTAGGCCATCCTCAGGCCATGTCGGTTGCGTAGATTGCCTGACCATACTTCACCATCCTGGCTAGTGTGGGCTGGTAAAGGGTGGGGGAGGGAGGGGGCACGGACGGATTTTCCTGCACTGTCCTCTTCTGACCACCACGCAGAGCCCGCTGTTGGCTACGGCAAGCACGATCGAGGCTTACCCACCCCTGCTTAGCTTCTCAGGTGTGTTCTGGGTTATTTCCTCAAAGGCTGACATAATATTCCGAAGGAAGAAAAAAAACTTCATGAATCTCCGCCCAAAACGGTGGATTTTCTCGAATGCAAGAGAAGCCCTGGAAGCACGGGGGAGCACAGGGGAGACACGGGGGACACGGGGGACACGGGAGACACGGGGGACACGGGAGACACGGGAGACACGGGGGACACGGGAGACACTTGGGACACGGGGGACACGGGAGACACGGGGGACACGGGGGACACGGGGGACACGGGGGACACGGGCGACACGGGGGACACGGGGGACACGGGGGACACGGGGGACACGGGAGACACGGGGGACACGGGGGACACGGGGGACACGGGAGACACGGGAGACACGGGGGACACGGGGGACACGGGGGACACGGGAGACACGGGAGACACGGGGGACACGGGGGACACGGGGGACACGGGAGACAAGGGAGCACGGGGGACACGGGAGACACGGGAGCACGGGGGAGCACAGGGGACACTTGGGACACGGGAGACACGGGGGACACGGGGGACTTGGGGGACACGGGGGACACGGGGGACTTGGGGGAGCACAGGGGAGCACGGGAGACACGGGAGACACGGGGGACACAGGAGCACGGGGGAGCACGGGGGACACGGGAGACACTTGGGACACGGGGGACACGGGAGACACGGGGGACTTGGGGGACACGGGGGACATGGGGGACGCGACTGAATCGCAAGGTGGCAGGACACTCACAGAGGACGCTGGCAACAGGCGGAGGAGGAGTAAGGGGCCCCACAGACCCCTCTGGTCCCCCACGTACCTCCGCTGCAGAATGTGCGGCAGGGTGTGGGGCACGTGGACTTGACCTCGTCCGGCAGGATACCGGGGAGGCTGCGCAGGTGCAGGTAGGTGGAGATGCGGCTCGCCTGCACGGCCACCAGGTTCCCGCCCACACCTGCCGGGTGCGGGACAGACAGACAGGCAGCGAGAGAGAGCGAGACGGGGCACTAAGTGGAGGGAGGAGTCGACCGCAACCCTCTGCCATGCGTGGACCAGAGAGGGTCACCGGAACAGAGCTCAGACGTAGCTCGGTGATATCCGCTTCCATGGGCCATTCTCCGACATGAAGGGTTGCGTATCGGAGGTGGAGGCTCCGCGTCGTGCCGCTCAGCCCCAAGAGAGAAGGCAAGCCAGTCCCTGCTCACCGTTGATGACGGGCGTGAACACGGCCATCCCCGCGAAGTTGGGGTCAGACACGGTGCGGTCGAGGATCAGGCCCCCGATGCTGCGGGCCGACATTCGGGGAGGGGTGGGAAAAGCGGTGAGCGACGTGGCAATTGGCGGTGGGAACTCGCCCAGCCGTGCGACACGCCGACAGCTCGGGTTGATAAAGGGGGGTGGGAGGTGGGGGCAAGAGAGCCTCATTCGAGGGTAATTTCACCGACCCTTCTACACTGACAAGACGTCTTGGAAGAGGTGCGAGTACCCATACTTTACCCCACCGCACGCGGCCTGCTCATCGACAAGCTGCGGCGCAGGCGTTGACGTAGGCCTATTCTATTAACTGCCGCCCTGGGAGGCGAACGAATTCCGATTAGGAATTTTAAAGCACTTAATTGGTTCTCCGGCCGTGATTGAGCGGCAGAGCGAGTCCATATGTTCCTTTCCATCGCAGATGGGGCCAGAGCTAGGTTTTGGGTGGGAAGGGCATTCTGGGAAGTGGCAGTTTCGCCGTGGCGTTGGCAAACGACTCATTTGCGAATTGTCAGCTGAAAGCGTTGCGCGTGTGAAGTTCACCCTGTGACCGCGCCAACGCGACGCAACAGACGCGGACGCTCGGTATTCGCGTTAACGATGGAGATCAATCAGAGAACAAAGTACAATGCACGTTGCCGCTCCCAATTATTTTTTTGCAGAAAGCAATTTTTTTTTTTATAAACCCTATGGAAAGTAAAACAGATCAGACGGAAGTCACTTTTAAAAAAGGAGGCTTATCTCGAGCTGCACATCATAAGGAACAGCACACATGGCACAGCTGTGAGGATAAATGCTGGGAAAAAAGTGAGAAGGTTATGAACAAATCTATTTTGTAAAAATCAGCCGGACATTTTGGTTTCAGTTATGAAATCGCAGAAACGGTGACTTCCGTCTCAAGCGAGCATTTCCTGAGCGAGTCATGGCACTTCCACATTCCTATGGCAGGAGGCGTCTACCCAAAGAACAACAACAGTAGACTTTATCACAAAGCGGTCCTCCTTTTATCAACCTTCCCGTTGCGAGCCGCCCGCTCACTCTACCGCCGAGCCAAAAAGTATTCGCACAAAGTTACGTAACTTAGCATGTTCCAAATACGGAATTGTTCCTCTTTGATGATCAATCCTGCAATGGTTTGCTGTGATTTACACATTTGTTTGGACAGCGGTGGCCAGAACACAACTGCCTATAACTGGATAAATCCATCACGCGTCACGTATTTCCGCTTGACACTTATTCGCTGGTGCCCTGAATGCATTTATGACAAAACATGAAGGCCGTTGACATTTTCATCGTTGTTTGCGGTCGAAAATGGTAGCTCAACGAAGTTGACTTGTCATGTGCAAATTTACAGCAGCCAAATACTCTTAAACGCACGTTTCAAAATGTGGAGGCAAAAACCAGAGGACCCAGGGAAAGATCCACGTGACCACGGGGAGAGACACCGCAACTACAAATACACAGGCGTCAGGGTAGGGATCTTACCCACGACCTCTTGTATGCTAGGCGAGGAAGTTAACATCTCGCCACCGCGGGATGTTAACTACGAAAACGCAAACATCTCCGCACGCAAGACAAGCTGTGGGTAAAGGAGCTTCGCAGTAATGGTAATGATAAAATTATAATTGTAATAATTAATGAATGCCGTCTACACCCCAGGCCAAGACGAAACCCAGGCCGACACAAGCGGCTGTCGCGCGCGACAAAAATTGGCAGCCGCCGATTAAAACCGCTGATCAATCCCGATGCTTGAAAGCGGCTCGCTTTGAACACGCCGCCGTCCCGTTAGGTTGCGCGTGCAGGGGAGAATTAACGAGGCCGGTGTTCCGTTGACGCGTTCGGTAAGATTAAGAATCGTGAGGAGATCTTTGTTTTTATATATATACATATATTTGTAAGCCAAAATATATTTTGCCCAAAAAAAGTTTGGTTCTCACCGTGGCGGTGTCAACGTTAACCTTCATCCGTGGTATCCGTTTTCTTCTAGTTTTAGCCGATCAATCGTGGAAAGTGTGGTGAGCAGCGACGCAATGGTTTAGCACATTAACCGTAGCTTTTGTTTTTAATATATATAGGTGCTGGATCGGTGGATGTACCTCATTTTTTATTGCATGTTAATGCGAAACAGGGCATCGACAGATGCGCCAGCGGCAGGCACAGCGCATGACCCAGATATGGGTTATGGACTAAAGCTTCAATCCGAATTGGGTAAGATATGCTCCCACGCCTGAATACGGCGAAGGGGAGGTGCTCACTCTATTAAGCTGCTTCGCAGCAGCAATCCCCGAAGAAATCAAACTCAGGCGCTAACGGCCACGACGCAAAAGAATAGATAAAAAAAGCAAGAAGAACCGAAAACGAAAAAAAAGAAAAAGAAATCAAACCGACCTTCCTGCACGATATTGCTGATCGCGGTCTCGATAAAAAAAAATATATTGATTGGTTTCTAAGCGTGACGGAACGAAAATGAGCTTAGAACATAAAGCTCGGCGCAAAATCTATAACTCGTGGTGCCATGGCAGATTAGAGAGCGCCGCGCGCTCCTGCAGGCCAGATCCCCCGCACGCGCCCGTGCACCGTGGCAGCGATGGCTGCACCTCCGAGTTCACCCTCGCGGCGATTCCCCGACGGTGGCCTCCGGAACAGCGAGCCAGCTCGGCACCGGAGAAGTTTGAGAAACTCCGGCAATGAGCGCCGGGGGCTGCCGACCTGCCGCGTGGTCGGAGGGATCGCGAACGGCAAGAAGCGCGATTGTTCTCATCGCGCCCGGCACATCACCGTTGGGAACAAGGCCGCGGCAGCGGGGCGGGCGAGGCGACGCGTGTGGGCGCGTCCGCCGAGCGTCGTCGCCCCCGACGCCTCGCTTAAAACGAAGCTCCGTGGCGTTACACACGCAGTACGGCGATGTCACGTGACCCGCAAGGCACGATGGGGACACCGATCCTGCGGTCGCAATCAAGTATTTTGGCCACCCAGACGTCGCCTTGCGCGCGCTCTATCGTTACCGCCCGCGCTTGTTTCCAGCCTGCCACGCCCCCTTTTCTGTCCGATGGGTTTCTCAGAGTTTACGGAGAGCGTTACGCGGTCGGTGGCCGTGTGGGATGGGTGCGGGCGGCGGCGGCAGCAGCAGTGGCCGCCGGCGCGTGGTCGCACCTGCTGATGGTCATGGCGATGATGACGGGCTCCCAGCCCGAGTAGAGGACCTCGCGCGTCTGCGGGCTCCTGCGTGCCACCATTACCCACAGCGGCGTGAGCACCACGAAGAGGCCGCACACGAGTGGCGACACAAACTTGAACACTTCTGCGGCACGGAGATAAGCGAGACACACACGGAACACGCGCGTGCAAGGTCAGGTCGGTTCAGGAACTCCTTGGGTAAGCGGCATTGCGGGGGCACCATCGTTACCGTAAGGACAGCCGCGGTTCAAGGAGAAGACCCCTCTCCGTCACGGCCATCCGAGCGCAACTCACGTTGGGCAATAAATTCTGGCTTGTTTTAATTTGTTTGGAAACATATCCTCGTGCGTTATCTCAGTTTTGTTTGCATTTATCCTGCACCCGACGTTGTAGCCTTCTTTGATGTTGTCCGCCAGCCGTGTCGCCCTTGCAAAAGAGCTTTTTAGCTCCTAATTTTCGGTACTTTGTGTCTATCCGCTGCTGGATAGAGGCCGCCATATGCTGCGTCACTCATGGGTGTTGATTCACCATACTTCACCGCACTGGTCGGCGCGGGTTGGCGACAAAGGGGGTTTAGTGGCTCCAGGATCCGGGTTCGGATAACGCTCGCCACCGACGTTAGCCGTGGACGGCAGTTAAAGTCGGGTCGCCGGGCTCACAGCGCAGTGCGCAAGCCACTGCCCCAGTGCCGGATTATGCGGGGCCTGTAGCATATCTAGCTACTTTTGCTCCTAGGATAATCTGGCACTGCCCAGCCCTCTCCATGCCAAGTTGTTTTTAGGATGGTGTCCCTCTGGATGTTTTTCAGAACTCACTTGCGAAAAGAGACTCCAGTCTTAATGGGTTTCTCGTCTGGTTGTGAATAAGGCTTATAAATGCAGGAACAAGTGTTTTTTTCCCAAAATCCTTGAGGATTTTTGCGTGTGGGAGAGGACTAGAGTAGCAGGGGAAAACCCAAGAATGCGATGTGATCACGTTCAAAAGTATGCACGGAGGCCATCAACTTAGTCAAGTGAAATAAGCATGTTTGATGGTATTTTTTGCAAATATCAGCTGTGCGTGATTGTACGAGTTTACAAGAGCGGAGGGCTGGTGCGGTGACGAATAACAGCGGCGAATATATTCGAACCGGTCCTGGGCCTCTCCTAGGTTGACTCGGTGCGGTGTGTAAAGGTCAGCACTGTGCGTGGTGTTCTCCACGCAATGTCTTGTGCGCCGTGCCGGCCTTCACAGGCCGTCGTTAACATCTCTTGCCCCAACAGTCTATATGGCTATAACAAGGGGACCCTCTATGTTTATTTGCGTGAATAATACGATCGCAGAAAATGTATTTGTTGGCAAGAGCAAAGAGTCGATTATACTGTGGGTTAAATAAACAATCGCAGCAATTTTCAGACTCCGTAAAAACACATGACCCAACCAGGCACAAAAATCGCAAAGTCTAGACACCCATCCAGGCCAATATCAAACCACACATCAAAGCGTAACACTGTCTGAAGTGCTCGGGGCAATTTGCTTACTTAACAAGATCGGCACGGCTCCACTTTCCCAGCAGTTACCCGATGCCCTCTCACGACCGAGCCTCCACCCCGGCAGGAATCGAAGGAAGGCCTGAAAATTCCCGCTCTGTTACTGAAGCCGACCGCTTGTACATTACACAAGAAAAATGAGCTGCCCCCACACCCCCCATGTGCACATTCCTTTTTTTGAAAGCCCGACAACCAATTCGATGCCTATCATTTTTTTTTTACTCGCAAAACTGTATTATGCAGTGTGTTTAACCGTTCGTCAAGGCTGCTGCTTGATTATTCTATCATTGGATTTTTTTTGTGATGCTCGCAAACTGCTTTTGCGAGGTCACAGCCACGCAGAGGAAAACGATTCTCGCGGTGCCGGGCTCGGTGAGGCCACAGGAAGGAAACGAATCTGCTGAAGCGTCTAGGGCTTTTTTTTTCTTCTTCTTTTTTAACCCTCCTGAAACCGCCCACACTCACCCCACCCGGCTCCTGGGACCTCGATGGGCAGAAAGAGCCTTTTGGTGGGATTTAATTCGGGCGAGCGAGCGGGAAGGCTTGCGGTCGCCTCATTTCCGCTGCGCAGCTTATGCCACTTACGTCTTATCCCCAAACGTAATTCGTATTTGTAGGTGTACGTGCGCGCGCACCAACCTACGCACGTACACACACGTTGGCATCTACGTATGCACGCACAAATACACACGCACGCACATGCAGGCACAAAGACAAAGACCTCCTTTATACTGGTAGGAACGAAGTTGTAAACTGAGTGTACCAGCCTGCAATAGATTAATGTGTCCGTCCGTCCGTCCCCTTTCAATACTTTAACGAAGTGAAATCTCGTGCTGTTGGGGTGTAAAAATAAAATTGCGCAACATTCCAATGTTCCTACCAGCCCACCCTGCAGGGACCTGTTTAGCTTTTCAACGACTGCTGCGGCAATTGCTTTTAGCGAGCACCTATGAAGGCCAACATGGCACACGTGGGCGTGGTTGACAACATCACTCCCAAGCCGCCTTTGTCTCCACAGGTACTCATTTGACGCTAAGTGGCCCTAGGGGAGGCCCAGGACCAGTTCGAACATCCGCCACTTTTGCTGGCCGTGAGCAGGAATCGAACTCGGGTCATTGGGTTTGTGGCGCAGCGTGCCAACCGCGACACTACCACTCCCCATACGCATTCACATGCACCCAAAAGCACGCATGCACCCACGCACGCACAGACACACACACACACACGTGGGCGCACACAGAAACACGGCACCCCTCCCCCCCCCCCCCCCCCCCCCCGGAGAATCCCTCCTACGTCCCCGCTCCTCTCAAGAGTCCGACCGGCACACGGCAACGATTTATTTCGGCGCTGGTCGTCCCGCAGGGAGGGGGGGAGGGCCGCTTTAGTTGGCCGGGTACCCCGGGGGCACGGCCATCGTGGCTCACGCAGCAACACACTGAATGAGGCGAAAAGTTTCGGCAAAATGTTGCGATTTTTTCACGCCTTTCACTCCCGACGGCGCAGCGACCCGCGCCGTCGGTTGACGACTCGAGATGGGAGCCAAGCTCCCGCCGTGGCCTGGAATGTTTTTTTTTTAATGTACAGTAAATGTCACAAACATGTTTTGTAAGCGTTTACTTTAATGGCTTCCTTATGTGGTTGGTGCAAAGGTTACGGACGTGGAAATTGGTTTGTGTTCTCAATTGAGTTTCTTTTTTTTAATGCTAAACGCCACGCGCAACAATTTGCGGTTTCAAAGCACTCCGTGGTGGAATCTGACCGAGTGGCTTTGAACACTAAAAGGCTAAAGAATTCTGGGATTGGTGGAAACGTTGGAAATAAAAAAGATGAAAGTCTCTAAAATCCTCTTCTACACATATAGCCGAGTCAGCTCAAGTCTCCTGTAAATCGCCTTGACTTGTGTGTGGTCACCCCCACTCCAAGTCTCTCCCCGCTCCCCGCCCGCTGTGAAAACAGACGCTGCTCCCCCGTACCGCAGCATCGAGGCCCTGATGCAGCCTTCCCCTCTTCCCTCTCCTCATCTCTCCTAGCCCACCGTTCCCATTTCTCCCTTCCTTTTCCATCCATCTACTTTTTATTCCCCATTCTCTTCTCTCTTCCCGCCCCCGTTCCCTTTCTCATTCATTACATCCTCGACTCTACTTCGCTTCCCGTTTAAAGTGCGTAAGCAGCTGAATCTCAGTAAACTCAAACACGAGAACCTAACAGTTTCTGCTTGCTTATACGAGTCGCTTGTGGTATGTTTGCCTTGGACATACATCGCCGACGTGGACACACAAAAAAAGCAAACGGCATGGGTTTACTAAGCAATTGCCTCCGGCACGACGGCTGCGTGAACATCGTTCACCCTAATCGGCCGGTTTGAAAAAGGTTAAATATTGCCGAGGCCTAAAGATCACGACGCCGAAAGTGAAGGGGGGGGGGGTCAGCAGAGGTTGCCGGGGAGACGGAACACGAGACATTGAAGGTGACGCGGCGGCCGGGGAATCAATATCCATAATTTGATGCGATATTGGAACGCCCAGACGGACATCAACGCTGCACGGCGACGCTAATGCATTGCATCGTCCGGGGGGGGGGGGGGGGGGGGCACTGATGCACGCTGTCAGACGGAAATGGCACAAACTGCTACGATGATGAAAACGTTCAAGTTAAGACGGCAGAAATTCGAACAAATAACGGTGCCCAAAATATCATCGCCATCGCCAGCGGCGACAACCTGCACACCCCCCCTGTAGGATGAAGGCCTCCCGATGTCGCCCCCACCCCCCCACAGCCTTGTGATGCCAAGATGGTTCATGTTTTCTCTATTTACGTTCGAGCCATTATTTTGTTTACCCCGTCGCTAGCTTGGAAAACATCTTCCACGACCATAAACCACATCAATTGGGGAGGTGAATTGTTACAGCCCTGCTTAAGATCCATACGCTAGGGGCAATTCCGAAGCTTACGGGCCGGTGCCGCGGCGGGAAGCAAACCGCTGTCTCTACATGCGAGCCGGCTCGGAGGCGAGCGTGTCACAAAACCCGGGGGGGTCCTTCACACAAAAAGGCAGCGGACGACCGCTGCCACCGGTGTAGCCAACTCCTGAAAGGGGGAACGTCGCCAAACGGAACATCAACAAGTCGCTTGACGCAACGAAATAAACGATCTAAAGCGGTCAAGAGTGTAACTGGGCAATTCGGCACGTTTTTTAAAACATCGTAAACCGATGCGGGACGCTTAACACGCGCGTGGGAGTCGCTCCCAAAAGCGCATCGTGCCCTCGTCCCAAGAAAGTCGCTCGATTTGCCTTTAGTCGCTTCAAGCAACAGCAACAGAGTTCGTCGCGACAGGGAAGTCGCTGCTGATCTGTCGACACAATTCGCTGCGCTGGCAAAGCCGCGGCCGCACACAGGCAGGCAGAGCGGGCGGGGGGAGCTGCGGGCGGAGTGAGTGCGCCCTCTCCTGGTGACACCGCGAGACGCACAACTCTCTCGGCCACGCCACTGCCATCGTCCCCTCTTGCTGTGCTGGCTGTGGGCTGTTGCAGCCCTATGCTGTTTTTGACGCGAGTTCTCTCTCCCAGAGGCCTGTGACGTATCCACGCATGTACGTCGAACTTCTTTCGCACCGTACGTAGCCAACCGTGCTAATCGGAGGTGCGGGAACACCATGAAAATATCCTAAATTGTCATTTTTTTAATATTCATCATTTTCCTGTCAAGCTCCTTGGTCCTGGAATGAATTACTGAATATTTAAAAACTGGAGAAGAGGGTATCACTGTCTGATTTCAAAGCTCTGATAGAAGAAAATGTCATTGACCGTTGTAATTGTTTTATTGTTTTATATTGTAGTATTTCGCATTGTGTGTGTGTATGTGTGTGTATCAGTTACGATTATCTGAACCGGTCCTGGGCCTCCCCTAGGCCGACTCAGCCTGAAATGAGTACCTGGTGTGGCATGTAAACAATTTCCAACTGGGAAGACAAAGGCGGTCGGGTGTGGTGCTGGCCACCTACCCCCTCGTGTACCGTTCTGGCCTTCATAGGTGCTCGCTAACAGCACTTGCCCCTACAGTGTTAAGGCTATACGGGGGATCTTTGTCTTTGTATTGTGTGTGTATGTGTGTGTGTGTATGTGTGTGGTGATTTCTTTTTTCCAACTTATTTCCAGGTCCCCCTCGCAAACGAGGTGTTTAATCTCAAGGGTATTTTTTTTGACCTCGTTAAATAAAGGTGACATTAAATCTTATTTTTTCATGACGAAACTCGTCCGTGCCGCGTACCTATATAGCCGTAGAGTTCCCTGCTGATGCCAGCGAGAAGTGACAGCGTGATGAGGTCGCCCAGGCTGGCTGCGATGGGCGTCGCCACGTTGTCAGGGTTGATCCCCACCTTCTTGGAGCCCACGATCACCCCCACCATGATGAGGCCTGCGCGAGTCGGAGCCGTCGACACCTCGACCCATCGTTCGGCATCGTCGACATCATCGCTATTATAACCACCAGTCGTCATCGATTATCATCATCACCAGTATCAACAATCATCATCATCACAACCACTGTAATAATCATCTCCATCACCACTGTCTGAAATTTCAAATCTGGCGTTTCTCAGCAGCTTGCAAAATATCCCAATCCGATCTAAATCAAAAGCATTTAGCATCTGTGAAGAAGTCCTAGGGGCACCAGCATCGAACAACTTAAAAAAAAAAACCCTGACGACCTGGGTGAGCGAAAATATAGCGGGCGGCTGGGTGAATGGGTGCGGCTGGGTGAATGGGTGCGGCTGGGTGAATGGGTGCGGCTGGGTGAATGGGTGCGGCTGGGTGAATGGGTGCGGCTGGGTGAATGGGTGCGGCTGGGTGAATGGGTGCGGCTGGGTGAATGGGTGCGGCTGGGTGAATGGGTGCGGCTGGGTGAATGGGTGCGGCTGGGTGAATGGGTGCGGCTGGGTGAATGGGTGCGGCTGGGTGAATGGGTGCGGCTGGGTGAATGGGTGCGGCTGGGTGAATGGGTGCGGCTGGGTGAATGGGTGCGGCTGGGTGAATGGGTGCGGCTGGGTGAATGGGTGCGGCTGGGTGAATGGGTGCGGCTGGGTGAGCGCGCCTTTCACTGGATTCCATCACAGCGCATGGCCGGTCGGGCCGGACCTAGCGGGGCTTGCGGGGCAGCCCCTGGACGGACGGAAGGTGCTACAGAGACAACAAATGGAGCCCCCGCTCGATTTCCAAGCTGACTGCCTGATGATGCACAAAGCAGTTTGAGCACAAAGTCGCTTTTTTATGTTAAATTAGAATCCCAAAAAGTCTTCAACCACCGGTCAGGAGCAGCATCATTAGTCAGAATTTGATTAACACATAGCGCGCGTAAATAACATCTTTGTAACCGTAACAATCTTGTCCGGTGCTGGTGGTGGAGTTAATGACAAGAACCTTGGCATGAAACCCCACTGCCACGCGGCCTCACCCAAAAACATCCATCAAAAGGAGCGGGTTCCATCAGTTATCTCTCAGTTGGTGGTCAATGTTCGAAGTGAGGACCGCGACCCTCAAAGCAATGGCACTGCCCCTGTGGCCGCCCCTGTGGCCGTCCCTGTGGCCGCCCCTGTGGCCGTCCCCCCCCCCCCCCCGTCCTCTGTGATCCGTGGATGAAACAAATCACTCGAGACACGCCAGTGTACGGCAGCCAAGAGCAGTTCATGCGAACGCTGTCGCAAGAGGTCACACGTTTGGGGCAACGGTCCTCCGCTGACTATGTGTGATGAAGGAGCTAGGTTAGCGCAGGATGGTGGGCCTGGGAGAGACGCGGGGGAGGCGCGGGGGAGGGTACCCAAAATGAGGGAGGCGACGAACGCGGTGGCGACGCTGCTGGCACACAGCAGCACGGCGTGGTGGAGGTCGAAGTTGCCCTCGGGGATCCAGCCCATGATGACGGCGGCAATCGCCGCCAGGAAGCCGACCACCGTGGCCTGGACCTGTGGGCTCACAACGACGTCATCGAGTCAACCCGAAGCGTCACTCTCGTTTGATGCAGGACGCGACTTGAAAATAAACCAGATAGATATGTTATTATGGGCTCTTAAAGAGATGCAAACCCAATCTGCAAGGTCCCAGGGCTCTCAAATATCAACGTGAAGCTTCACCAAAGAGTAATAACAAGGGTTTAGAAGAGTAAAAAAACACGTGTTGTTGATCGTTTCGTTTTTCAGCCAATTAATGAGTGTTTATGCATGCGAGGGGGCAACACTCATTCCCTGAACAGACGGAAACAGGTGGTGATTAGTCCAATCGCTGTACCGCCTTCTCCCGGCGAGCCAGTGTACAACGCCCGCGGGAAGGGGGAGTCTCGCAACATCTGTGCACCGATCCGCCAACCCTCGGGCGTGCGTAGCCACCACCGCTCAGGCAAGCTGACAAAAACCGAGCGAATGACCAATCGCCAGCGCGCGGTCGATTGTCGCCGGGAAAACCGCACTCGGAGGGGGGGGCGCGCACGCCCACGCCGTGTTGGCACCCACGCGTCGCCCACGCGTCGCCCACGCCGCGTTGGCCCACGCTGCGTTGGTGCCCGCGCGTCGCCCACGCTACGTTGGCCCACGCCGCGTTGGCCCAGGCTACATTGGCACCCACGCTGCGTTTGCGGGCCTGCAGAGGGCACCCAGCTTATCGGCCTACGAGCCCCCCGGAGACGTCAACAGGATGTCGGGCGCCTACGCAGCGAGCGGAGGCTAAACGGGGGGCAGCGCGCGTGGCGGCGATCTCTCCCACCTGGATGAGCGCCAGGTTGCTGGTGATCATGCGCCATTGCTCCGGGGCAGAGTCCATGTGCCCGATGTTGGCCTGATCGCGGTAGACGCACGGGAGAGAGGGGGGGGTGGGGGCAAGTCACGGGTGTTGGTGGTGAGTTTAGGAGTGGGGTAGGGGGCAGGCGATGGTGGGGGGGGGGGTCAGGACAGGCCACGACGAGCGTTGACGTCGCAGCTGTCAACGCAGCGAGGCGAAGCGTCTCCGCCGTCAGTAGGGGGCTCCAAAACACGGTGGAGACATTTGCCACCAAAAGCACGATCGCGAACCTGCGGAAAGCGGGGTTTAATTTTACCCCGAAATTAAAATATTGCCGCACCCGGCTCACCACACCCAGTACGACTCTCGCTACAGCTGTGGCTACTAGTCACGTGCCCACCTATTGGAAGGAACCAAAGCCTTGGTGTGGGTATCCGACAAACGAAATCATAACAGCACTTGCAGTGATGGACGACGGCCCGTCATCAGCGCCACTTTCTAACCGAGGCACTGGCGGCTTCCGCGAAAGGGGGGCCGATGTCGTCACGGCGCAATCGCCCTCCTCCGTCGTCGCCCACCTCGCATCGTCGTCCACCTCGATCGCCCATCGCCACCGCCGCCTCATCGTGCGAGATCCGCGTCGGTGTCCCGAGGCGCGTAAACCACCACGCCCGCCTTAATCCACCCGGGGTCTCCGAATCTCGATTCGCGGACAACCCGCCGCCGCGACCTTTACCGGCCCTGTCGCTTCGTATCCCCGCGAGAGCGCGTCGCCGGCGCGGCGGTCGCATGAGCGTGCGCGCGCGTCTCTATTGACCGCGTGAGCAACAAGGCGCGGCGCAAATGTTTGTGTTGCACACGTGCAGCGAAGCCGTCAGCTGCATGGCAACCGTGGGGGGGGGGGGGGGGGGGAGGCAGCGGTGGCGACAATCGCGGCGGCGCTTCCAATAAATAAAGGATTAGAAGAAGGGCGGAGGACGGTGTTTTTCAAAATATAAAAATCGGGTTTTCTCCAATATGTTCTTATTGACCAACACGGCCGATCTCAAGAGATCTCAGAAGCTAAGCAGACTTTGAGCCCGGACAGTGCTTGGATGGGTGACCAGCACACGCAAACACGCAAACAGGTTGTCAAGACGGCTGACGGGCAACGAGAGCGGCTTCGGCAAAATCGATCGCTGTCCTGTATTTCTACGCTCCCACATCCATTTCCCTCATCTTCACCAACCCACACTGACTGGCACAGATAAGTGCGGTCAAATAACCCCAAACACCCCGCACTGTAGAGGAGAGGCCCTCTTCCAGCAGTGGAGTGACACAACGGGACATATACTTTATTTGTTCATTAAAATATTTCACTTGGATAACCCCAGGCAATCGATGCCTCCTTTGCAAAGGGTGTGTATGCACGTAAGTTGAACTTCTTTCGCACCGTACGTAGGGTGTCGACTTGTCATAGCAAGCACACGGCACCGTACGTATTCCCGCTGTGCCACTACATCTCTGACCCTGCCATTGAGGAGGCGAAAGGCAACGTCGACTGGAAGGCCCTCGAGGATTTACAGTGCACCACCTTGTGTCAGGGTCCCGGAAGAAGCTATCACAGAATCAACTGTGATTATAATAAACATACATTAAACAAAAAATTATACAACAGCGTCATTCATGCCAAATGCATCTCACAACGTTGTACAATAATTATGTAAAAGGGCTAAATGCTATTTGTAACAATTATTCAGTGAAGGAAGACCCTTGGGAACTAAAGGTAATCAAAACAAATAAAGAAACGGCATAAAAACTAAAGGTATGCAACAACAACAACAAACAACAAAAAAGGAATAAATTCAATAGGCATCGTCGGTATCCTCACTTGGGGCATAACCTTTCATAAACCCTGAAAAGAAAATTAATTGCACGTCAAGCTAACCTCAGAGCTCAAGGGTGCATGTGGCGGGGAGGGATGGAGTAGGGGGGATGGATCGGAGGGGGGGGGGGGGTACGGAGCGGGGGTGGGGGGGAGTGTTGTGTAGTCATTCACGGCCGGGCTGAGACCATCAACGTGAGAACCCAGTTCAATCACGGGGCGGTTGAAACACGGAATCAAACGGCAGGGTCTCAGCAGCGGCTGGCTCGCAGCTCTGATTTGGCATCGGCCACCCGAGTCACAGGGCCACCTCCTCAACGGAGGGAGGCAGTGGACGAGCGAGGCATGAAGCCTCCCAGAGTCGCCCTCTCTCGTCCCGGATATCGAGAGAAATTCCACGGCGATAGCTTCATGCAGCACTTGGCACGCATGCGCGGGTGACCAGCCTGGCTCCTGCAAACCATCCGGATGGGTTTGTTTCTTTTAATAATATCTAAAAAGTTATAAATATATAAAGGGTGCAGCTCTAGAATTGGTTGCTCATGCTACTATTGCAAGGGGGGCCTCCACGAGAGGGAAGCCTCTCTAAAGGGCATTTTGGTTCGCTGTGCCATGCTGGCCAGAAGTCTTGGAAGAGGTGGTTGTACCCACACTTTACCCCACCTGCTGACCGGCTAACCGTGGCATACCCCATTCATACCGCTGGGGGGACAGACGCACACATCTGGTTCCAGACATGCGTTTATATTTCCACGTGCTGATAAGCCAATTCGTTGAGCTATCATTTGTGGCCAGGTCACTTCTGAACAAGAGCTGTATAGCTCAGTGGGCCTTATGTGGGAAAATAAAAAAAATAGTTTAAAGTTTAGTTTTAGACGAGCATGCTAACCATCACACCACCGCGGCGAGATCCGCTTGAAACATGTTACTTTTAATAATTGTTTTGGTGTTGAAATAGACCTGTGCATTTATTTGTTTTATTCTTTAATTACTCGCAATCCACCAAGGCAGTATATTTGTAGATATTTTGTGTACTCTGCTGCATGGCTCCACATGTTTGCAGAAAGCTGTTGCCTCTGACACTGCACCACTTATTTAACAGGCTGCGCCAACTGGTGTGAGTCAGGGAAGTTGAAACCAGTCCAAGGTTTTTCTCCATGAAACACAAATGCAGCTGAAATGTAAATTCAGCCGAAATAAGTGCACAGGCTGAGTGGTCCAAATGTAATTTTATTGCACTTTTTGGTGACTAGATTAACTGCACAGTAATTATTTTACATGCTTGCTTTAAAACAAATAACGATACAATTAATTTCAACAATGAATATCATTTATTTTGATTCACTGCAACTGGCCCCTACGGTCTCTGAAAGCCGCCGGCCAAATCAATTGGCCAACACTTTTTTTGTTTTTACTCCGGTTTGTGTCTCAAACTAGTGGGGCAAATCCTTTAATCGAATTCACCGGTTTTCAATTGGGGAAGTCGCAAATATCAACGCAACTTTAGAGTACATCTTGGTTCATCTCGGGTCATGGCCCCTCCCACCCCACCCACCATTACAGACGGAAGCATTGACAAGAGGAAGCGGGCTGCGAGAACGCAATCCCTACCGCGGTGGAGAGGCGAGATGCCAGGGTCATCTCTAGATTCCCCTTGAGGCCCAGCAGGGCCGGGACGAGGATGAACACCTCCTCCACGTGCTTGAACACCGGCCAGTGCTGCACACGCGCGCACACACACACGGAGGGGGGGACAGCGAGCACAAAGACAAAGATAAAAATCCCCCATATAGCCTTAACAGACTGTAGGAGCAAGTGCTGTTAGCGAGCACCTATGAAGGCCGGATCAGTACACGAGGGGGTGGGTGGCCAGCACCACGCCCGACCGCCTTTGTCTCCCTAGTGGCAATGTTTACACACCGCACCAGGTACTCATTTGAGGCTGAGTCGACCTAGGGGAGGCCCGGTACCGGTTCAGATAATCGTCACTGGTGTTGGCCGTGAGCAGGAATCGAACCCGAGTGGCCAGGTTCATAGCGCAGCATGCTAACCGCTACACTATCGCTCCCCACAGCGAGCACACACACACACACGGGGGGGGGGGGGGACAGCGAGCACACACACACACACACAGGCTCGGTGACAACGAGCGGGACAGGCGCGTTGCGCACGAGCGCAAACAATCGGCGGCACCGCCACGGCCGGCGTCCGCGGCGCAACACACCGTAGGAGAGGAGCGTGATTTGTAAAAAATTATCGCAAGTAATAAACCCAAGCCAGACGATTGCCAATTACAGTGTGAATGTGAATTAAATTACGACACTCAATTACTGAAATGCGATCAATTATCTCGTTAATTTTGTAAGCTTGTTAATCGGTGGGGGGGGAGAGGCGGAGTGGATGAATGTCGTTTCTTTGTGTCTGATAGTTAATCGGTCGTAAGAATGTGTGCTATATAAACAGAGACAGGCCACATGTGCTATGATAACCGCGTGAATACTAAACGCACTGAATTATTATTTCTTATTAATTGTGCCACCCTCTTGGGAGAACAATGCACCACCAAGATCCTGGGTTCAAATCGAAGGGAGCCGCCCATGACTAAAGAGATCTCACACGCAGAGAATCGATGGTCGAGGCACGGTCACAAATAACCGCTCAACAACAGCGTGACGTTACACATGTCGTGTGTGTTTAGTTTCACCGAATTCAGCCGATTTCAGCGATAAGAATCGGAAATTGGATCAGTTTGCTTTCGTTGGCGTGAAGAAAATCATCGAGTGACACTTCAGTTCAGTGTTTCTCAGAGTGCGGGCCCAGGCCAACTGGTGATCCGCGACAATCCTCCAGGTGGACAATAGTGACAATGCTTATTATACCTTTTGCTTCAGACATTAATTCATATTTTACTTTAGATCTCTAAGATCTAAATGTCCCCCCCCGCCCCGCCCTCCAAAAAAAAACTTATAGCTGCGCTAAAAAATGATGTTCCGGTAAATATGAACTATTTAGTATTCCTGTTATTTAGAGACAGGTGAATGCGTGTTGTCACCAGTGGTGGGGGGCTGTGTGGTGCACGCAAGTGTTTGCATCGGCCAAGTGGCCCGCGGGCCACAAACAGTTTAAGGCACACTGCTCTCGATGACTTTTTAATGGTCTTTCAAGCGACGTGGGTGTGCACTCACGCACACACCACAACAACAACAACCGCCATTCTTCACTAAGTGGCAGTTACATCACCACGGCGATCACGCAGAGCTAGAGACCCTCTGAGAGAGCCTGCCACGTGAAGTGTCAAAGATCTGCTAGCAGATATGTCAAGGGACAAACTCAGAGGTGTTATGGGTTAACCGAGATGACGGACAGATACACCGCCTGTGCTCCCCACTGTATCACCTTGCAGTGGTACAATTTTAGCCGCCCAGTGATCCGCTAGTTGTTGTGAGCATCCGACGTCACACTCCCCACATGCTCAAAAAAAATGAACCCCCGTACAGCCTTAACAGACTTTTGGGGCAAGTACTGTTAGCGAGCACCTATGAAGGCTGGCACGGTACACGTGGGGTGGGGTGGGTGGCCAGAACCATTTGTCTCCCCAGTGGCGATGTCCACACATCGCACCAGATACTCACTTGAGGCTGAGTCGATCTAGGGGAGGCCCAGGACCGGTTCAGATAATTGTAACCGGTGGTGGGCGTGAACGGGAATAGAACTCTGATCGCCGGGTTCCTAGCGCGGTGTGCTCACCACTACACTACCACTCCCCACTGGCACACACACACACATGTACACGCGCGCGCGTGCACCGGGCTATGTATAGAGACAGCCAGGTCCGTGTAGGTTGCACGGCCCCTTCTTCAAAATAGACTCGACGCTCGTGGGTGGTCAGCACCGTGCGGCAACGGCTGCGTGTGATGCGGCGACGAGCATACTTGCAAGAGCGCCGTTGCTCGATGACTGCGTCGCCGCACGCTGCGAGAGCGACCGTAGGCTCGCTCGCTCGCGCGCGCACTCGCGGATGTTCATTTTGATTCGTTGCACGGATGGTCCCGTCTAATCGGTTGCCCGGCTGTCGCGCGAGGGAGATTCCTCGTGTTGCGAGCACAGCAGCGGCATATCAATCGAATAAAGTTTAATTGGTTATGTTTCAGGATAATACTTTTTTTTATTTACACGCACAACTCTGTTGTCAATTGACTCCTGGATGAGGGCCTCCCCCCCATGCTGTGCAGGACGTGGGGGTTATTTGACCCCCGCGTCAGTCGGTACGGGTTGTTGTTGAAGGTTGGGGGAGCACAGACGCGGGACCAAAGTACAGTACGACAATCGATGTTGCTGCACCGCTCTTTACCCCTCACGACTCGGTTGATTTGAACGCCGCTGGGCTGCCACGAGCTCCCTCTAGTTGCAAGCCCCTTCTGCCAACGGTGGCTTTAGCGCGGCAATTGCAGGACTGCACCTTTGCCTCTCGCAACGCCACGCGTTGCACGCTAGCATTCCGATAGGCCGCCGACCGCCGCTCGGCTTTGCTCCCGCTGCGTACTAAAAGCGATTGCGCGCGGGAATAAAGCAAACAGCGACGTGGAAACCGCTCTTCATCTTGCCCCCAAACAAGCGAAGTGAGAGAGCCGATCAATATCTGCGAGGACGCAATGTGGGGACGCCCCGACCGCTGAGCGAGCGACGTGCGCTGCACATTGGCCGGATTTGCTCTGCCTATGGACGCGAAGCCGCTCTGCAACGTCTGCCCACTTTTTCGCCAACTCGTTCCCGATTCATTCCGTCTGCCAAACGGCAGCTGCCTTGAAAGATATTAAAAATAAAATAATCGCGTTCCCTCGGGCGTGCAGATGTCGGCGTTGAGAACGTTCAGAAGGGGAGGTGGGTCAGAGGTCACAGCGCTGAGCTGGTACCGTCGAGATCCCGGATTTAATGCAGGCAACTGGGTTTCATTACAACCCGAGTTCAAATCAAGGCAGCTGCCTATAATTATTAAACCGGGTTCTCAAGTGTAACGTGGACGTGGTCTCAGCCCGGTCACCAGTGATCGTACAAACAGCACCATCACAATCAATTTGGTTTCGTGCCGGAGAATTGCAAACATTGCTTTGACTGTCATGCGATGAACACTGCTGTGCCATGCCACAGAGAGCAGTGCCTCTTACTGCGTGCAACAGAGGTCACTTTGAAGGGATCTGCGATATATACTTGTGCGGGTCCTTCTCTGCACCACGGTACGAGAGTTCCCAATTGATGCTTTTACTCATTGTATGATGCCGCGAGCGAAATCAGGATAGAATTAGGGGAAAAGCCAACAACAAACATGAACACACGGACTAAAAAAATTATATTTCAATATATAAAAAAATTGTATCTCGGTTTTTTCATCTTCACTGATTTGTGCTAAATGTGTCAATACAATTTTGAGTCCGGCAGTGTCTCATATATGGCTGTTATCCATAATACCCGGTTAAGCAGCGACGTCGATTTAACAGGTTACACCCTGATGATGAGGCTCAGGGATGAGAAATGGACACGGGGGGGCGGGGGGACTATCTCAAATAAGCGCCAACGCAAAACCCTGATCCCATCTCCCGCCAACGATTGATTAGACGTATTCCAATGTTGGTTATTCAATAAACCTCATTATTTATTCACGTCCTTTTATAATTCTGCACATAATTCTCTTGTTATTATTCACGGGAAATGGAATAACACGAGCACGTGTGGACACGCACAAAGACAAAGACGCCCTTGGAAAGCCTGTAACAGGCTGGCGGGGCAAGTGCCGTCACGGCACGCGAGGCAGTTGGGTTGGCGAACACGATGCCCAGCCGTCTTTGTCTCCCCACTGGCGATGTTTACGCACCGAACCAGGTACTCATTTAAGACCTAGGGGAGGCCCAGGACTGGTTCAGATATTCGTCACTGATGTCAGCTGTGAGCGGGAATCGAACTCCATCTGCCAGGTTGGTGGCGCAAACCGCTAACCACTTAGCCACAGCTCTTCTCGGGCAAACATGCACGCACACGCACGCACACGCACGCACACGCACGCACACACGAGCACACATGAGCACGCACGCGCACACAGACACACACACGCACGCGTACGAAAGGCACATACACACACACACACACGAGCGTGCACGCACAGGCGATTAGGTCAATCCCTCTCATGTGGGATGAGGAGGCACCAATTGCACCCGCGTGCCCAAAGCCGCGTTAGCCCACGTGGCAATCCACCCCGAACCACGCGCTCGTTACACAACCGCACGCCTTCGCGAGAGCCAACCTGATCCAGAGCCTGCGGACACCTTCCCCGGCGCTCGTCAGTTTTAAACGCTCGCCGATCACGCAGCTGTCAGGCGATGATCTTTCTCCACTCGGGGTGTTTGCATTTAGTTTATCCTCGCGTCCCAACTCGGGCGACGAAGGCGGATCGCGGAGTAGTGGCTGACGACCTCGCCGGGAGACGGTTATCCACCGTCATCAAGATAATGTTTACAGTGCCCCGTCAATCCACTGCCACGTGTCGGCCTGCCCGTGGCGTGCTCGGTCACGGGCCTCGTTTGACCATACTTCACCGTGCAGCCGCTTGCGGGTTGGTGAATGAGGGATTGTCGGACCGATATTGCTCGCCACGAGTGTTAGCCATAGCTGGGAATTGAACTCAAGTAGCTGGGTTCATAGTATATTGTGCTAACCACTGTGTTGCT